TGCCGCAGCCTCTCGGATCAAATCTATCATAGCTTCAGTTCCCATTACTCTAATGAAGCAAATCCCCCCTACCCCCCACCAGCTTTAGTTCCAATCCCCCCTACCCCCACCAGCTTTACTTGAATATTGGTCCAGATTATTTGATCGAACATGAAGCTCTTCTGGAGTCGAGATGCCATTCCCCGGCTTCATTCCTGGAAAGACTTCTTTGGCGACAATGACAAGGATCTAATAAAGGCATTGAAGCGAAGCCGCGACCTTGAGAGCTCCGGCTTTTCGATAGAGGATATCACAGGGATGGTGGTGAGAGAGAACGGTTTCATTCTGAGAAAACTTGAATCCATCAAACCATCGATTGATCCGACCCGAGAGCTGGGCTTCTCTTCTTGTTGACGGCGCGCGGTATGTTTGTAGAAGCTGTGCTTGTGGTGGGAATGCTGAGTGAAGATACATTGAAACGAAGGTTTGGGGTGCTCAAGAGTTTGGGTCAGTCAGAAGAGGAGCTACTTCTTGCATTCAAGAAGAGTCCAAGGTTTTGCGAGGTTATCGCCGAAGAATCTGCGGTCACAGATGGAGTTCATGGTCGGAGAAGCGGGGTCGAATGCTTCGGAGTTAGCTCAGAACACGACCGCGCTCAACTTTAGCTTGGAGAAGGGGTTGGTGCCGACGAATTCGGTACTCAGGGAGAGGAAGAAGTTGGGGACGAGAAATTATTGGAGTTTTGGGAGGGTAATGAGGATGGCTGAAGAAGAGTTTGTGGGGAGGTTTATCTTGCATTGTGAGGACGAGGTGCCCGATCACTGAACCCTAGATCGGATTCCAAATAGATCTCCTATCCACACGAGGAAAGCGAAATCTCCAACGGCAACTCCTAATGCTATCTCCACCGAAGCCGAGAACTCCAAGAACTAAGCTTCACACAAGAATCTTCCTCCACCAAAAAACCCTAAAGGGTTCTGTCTTATCATAGACGTGAATGTTGCGCGCAGCGGAAATTTCGGCAGCACTTCGGCAGCACAACAAGAGAGTCAGATCGCAATAAGAATTCCCGTCTCACCAAGGAGACAAGAATCTGAAGCGGATATCTCAACCAAGTGAGATATCGGCTCTTCCTCTCATCAGTTCTAGGACTGACCTGTCGAGGGATCCTAAAAGCTATTACAAATCACACAAAAGTAGTACAACCAATTTTTACGTGGTTCGGCAAATTGCCTACGTCCACGGGGCAAGGAGGGGGGAGATCTACTAATAGAGGGAGAGAATACAACTAGGGTTTACAAAAGAATCTCACAAATAAAACCCTCACACAAACTCTCAAATCCCTCATACAAAACTCTCTCAAAAGCAACAAACAAAAGCTCTGTGCTCCAATTGATTTTTCCAGCCGAAAATAAACCAAGCCTTGCTCTGCTTTTTCTCCAGCCGCACAAAAGCACCCACAGCCGCAAAGAAATCAAATCGTTGCACACCTCCTTCGCACAAAACCTAGGGAACGAATTACAAAGGATATATATAGCCTTAGGTGAAAAAAATCGGTTTGTGGGCCTTCTCGTGGGCTTCGGCTTCGTGCGGAACTCTCTGCTTCGTACGCGGACAGAAGCGCCACGTCCGCTCACAATTGCATCACGTGGATGGGAGGGCCCACGTCCACTCACAGTGAATCACAGGGAAAAGAAAATATATCGGTTCGGTCCTACATAATAGTTTCAAAGTGTTTGAATTACTTCACTTTATGATACTTGCAGGTTAATACGTTTATCTTTCTCAAAATTATGCTTTAGCTGTGTTGAGAAAATAAAAAGTGTCTTTTTTTTTGGCTACTGCCTGTGGAGCTCAACGGCAGTTCTTGCTACTGAGGGAGTATTCACTAGATGAGATATATATGATAAAAGCTTAGAATAGGCTTAAATTGATTGGGGACTCTAGCCATCAATTTTTTTTATCGATTAGATTTGTTTTGAGATTCATGTTTGTGTGTGATACACATCAATGATATCTTTGAGATGCGTGCTTTGATGTGTATCATGTGAACCTTTAGGATTAGATACAAAAATTGGGGCCCACATTCATCTTAATTAATCACTGCTGATAGGAAAATAAGATAGAAAAAATGTCAAACTGATGACGGAGGTTGTTCTTCTCGCCCCTCCAATGCCAAAGTTAGCCTCTGGATTAAGAAGAATTAACTAAAAGAAATAGGCTAGGGTTTTGGGGCAGGATCACGGATCCTTTAATATGTGCACTAGTTGTTATATGTATTAGAGATTTATATAGGCAAATTAGGTATACTGAATTACACATGTCATTCTTCTATTAGCCAAGGTAGTTATAGGAGTTTTCTTGTGTGGCAAGAGAGTCCACATGTCGTAACCTTGTTGGCTGAGGAGACTTCCTACAACCTATGTACCAATGTTTATTAGAGGCAATTATGTGAGTTGTCAGTAAGAGAAGCAATTTTGAGGCTTCCTCACTTTTCCAAAAGAAAGTTTGTTTCTCATTCACTTTTCTCTTGGAAAACATATGGTCAAATTTGTTTTGCCCTTTGGGGTATCAAATTGTCAATATATAACTTGAGTATATCAAAATTAAAATGTGTAATTTGTACTTAATATATAATAGTTTCTTCTGCTTTGCACCTATACATCCTTCTCCCCCTTTTTTTAAGCTCTTATATACCATGAATCTTTCCTATTATTTGGTACTTTAATACATGCCGTTATGCAAACATGAAAATATTCTCTCGAATATTTTCCATGTGATACCCAGATGCTAAATTATTTAGAAATTTTTACCTCTTAATGTATGTTGAATTTACTATTAAATTACTCTAGCTTTATTCTCAATTTGCGCTAATTTTTATTTTAAAAACGAATTTGGATGGAAAAAAACATTGAAGATCAAAAAAATTAAAAAATTGATTGAAAGAAAGAAAATCAAAAAATCACCATGTGAGTGTCACATGTGAATATTAGAGGGACATTCGCGCATCTGCATAACAGAAAGTACTAAGATGTCAATCTTAAAACTTCAGGATGTAAACAATAGAGGGTATATCAGTGCAAAGCAAGGTAAAGTATAACGTGTTTAAGTGCTAATTAGCTAGTTAAAAAACGTGAAAGCTTGAGCTATTAAAATTCAATTAGCCCTCGAACATTCCCCCGCAAAATGCTCACTGGCTGATGACTGCTCCGCTACGCCTTTGGTTAATAACCCCAGAATCTCATCTCCCCTACGATCCTCCCTCCTCTCTCGTCTTCTTTATCTTCAAGGGTTTTTAGCTAAGTCCCAATATTTTGCTTTGCTCGCCGTTGATAATCTCCTTGACCACAGACAATGCTGATGTCAAAGCTGAAGAAACTCTCGACGCTCAACCCCCTTTCTTAATCCCCAAGTCCAACCTCTCCACAAAACCCCGCAAAAATACCCCAGCCCAGATGACTTCGTAGTCCAATACCTCACCACCTCCCTTGGGCTTCTCCCTCGCCCAAGCCCTCAAAATTCCTCAGCCAACCTCACCCACGTCAAATCCCCTCAAAAACCAGACTCCCTCGTCGCCTTCTTCAAACCCTGATATCCGCCTGCGTGCCGAGGCTACTCTGCGCCAATGCCGCCAAAACCCTCAAACCCAAGCTCGACACGTTGAGGCGTGCGCGGGCTTCGACGGCCCCGTCCTCGACAATAATGAGTTTTCCCAGTCGAGACGTATACAAACCATTTGCACCCCTGATAGAAATTCAAGCTAACTTATTGACCATTACACGAAGCATGTGTACAAATCTACACAATCAGAAATTCCAAAGTATTTTTAGTGCTCAAGGTTGTTGGTTAGGACTAGAATTCAAAGTTGAACTAAACATACCTAGCTGCGGATGCGATGAGCAGGCTATTGCGAGAAGGAATAAGCAAAAGTAGGTCATTAAAGACTCACTAACAGCGGGACATCAGCTACAGAATAAGCGAGAGGTAGAGCCAAAAGGTTGCAACGCGAACCTCAGCAGTCCAAGAGCTCAACAGGCACTGTGTTGGCAACTCTTCACAAACCTGGTTAAGGTCTTAACCAGGTTAACATTGATCCCGAGAGAAATCAATCACAACCTGGGCACCTGCGGGTAGAGTAGCCAAACACCCACCGTGATGTAAAGGAACAGAACTGCCCCACATAAAGCTTAGAACCGCCGTTCACGGTATTCCCTTTAGAACCGCGCGAGCGTAAAGCGCGCAAAGCTAAGAACCTCCCGCATGTACATGTACGCGGGCAGTTCTGATAGAAACCAAGACTCATGAAGCATAGCAAAGGGGGAGCTCAGAACACAGATGAATAACAATGAAGTACAGCGAAATTCGTCCCAACGTACCTAAAAAAAGTACCACTTTTCTGCACACGTGCATCGTTAAGCACAAAAGGAATTGTCCTGCAAGCAATTCAAGGGTCATGCCCACCACATATTACATTAGCTTAAATCGCCGTCTATAAAACCATAAAACTGCCACTCTAAAACCAAGTTCAAAACACCTATCATAACAGTAACGAGCTTAAATCCTTTTCAATTATCAGCGAGCATAAGGTGACAGTCGCAATTATCAGCGATCATAAGGGGAAGGGCGCCCTCCCCTGCCCCCCGCCGCCTCCATCGTAACGATCACCACCTGATGGTGCGTACCTGTCGCTCCCATAACGGTCACTTCCATAACGATCACGCCCACCGCTGCTTCCGTACCTACCAGTGTCCCTACTCTCAAAACGGTCCCGATCCCCAAAACGCCCACCATCATACCGATCATCCACATAGCGGTCAACGTAGCGATCTCCACCTCCAAAGCGGTCCCCGCGCCCTCCACCACCGCCTCCAAACCGAGAGCGAGAAGGTAATCGACTGCCAGCACCGCTGCCACTGGCAGAAGGGCATTCTCGAGCCCAATGTCCAGGTCGCCCACACTTGAAGCAATCAGAGCTCCCGCCCAAAGGTGAAGGACGGTCACGGTCGCGGTCACCGCCGCCACGATAACCTCCCCTGGCACCGGAGGAGTAACTCCTCTCGCCACCACTGTAGCCATAGCCAGGATCATCTGAACCCATCTTCGGCTGAGCCTTGTTGACGGAAATGTTTCGGCCACCAAGGTCTTGTCCATGCATCTCAGCAATGGCATCTTCCATGGCCCTTCTGTCTGTGAAAGTCACAAATCCAAATCCACGTGGACGACCTGTGTCTCTTTCCAGCATGACCTGCAAACAAAAATGTAGTAGTAAGCATTTACCCAAATAGAAATGGAAATTTTGTAGAAATAAAAATATAGAGAAAGTAGCTGCAACTTCTGACACTTTGATCCTTTCTGAACAGTTCAGGAAGAATTCAAAGAAAACCATAACCGACATAGAAAAGTTGAGCAGTGTGAGCACCATGTTATATCGTCTGTTTTCAAAACAATGCAATGACACAAATTAGATGTGTAAAAATTAATAACGGTGAAGAGAAATTAAGAATGGTGAAGTGTCAAAAACATCTGGAGTTCAACAAAATCGAGCTTTACACAAATGAGAGGACTGACTCCGAGCGTGCTCTAGGCTCAAAAAGAATGAGTCGGAAAATTCAGAAATTTTCTAAAACATACTCAAATGTATGATGCGGATATTGTAAATTCTCTACAGGAAAAGAAAAAAGTTAAAATATATACAAGCAACAAATATGCACAAAACAGTTGCACATGAGCAACATGCTTGTTGACTACCTTAGCAAGTATTAAGAACCGAATGGCGAATCTATTCTGACTTTACAAATGTTATTCAAAAGAACATTATGAATATTCAAAAATTGAATGCTAGAAAGATGGAAAATACAAAAATTTAACCCCCACGCATTTTATTAATTAATACAACCACATAAGGATAAAGAATTTTAAGTTTATGATGCATGTTATCCGATAAGGCAAGTATTAACAACTCAAGCATTTCAGCATGTACCCATGTAAAACAAGGAAATAAAAAAAATCTCTTTCAAGAATAAAAGCAAATTGTAATTTTTTATTAAAGGACAAAAAGCACTGCCAGATTCTTTTTTGCAGTAAATCAGAAAACAAAAAAAAATCAATAGTCAACAATACAGAGAATAATAACATAAAGCATTAACTTCTAAAATAGAGAATACACACTACATTGCACATATAGCTTGAACTGCATAATGGGTGAAAGAAGACCCATCATTGAAGGCCTTAAATTCATAATCTCAACAATGAAGCAAACCAAATAAGTTACTTCTGAGCTATAAAGTGGACTACCAATAATAAACCTCTATAATGCCACCTAACAAATGAAAGGCTTTTTGTCCTGTGTCCAACTTTTTTAACTAAAATATGGATATGCTAACACATGACTGAATTTTATTTCAAATAATAATAAAAGGGATAAAAGAATCATTAGTTCATGCAGTAAGAAGAGGGGCTGCATCGAACAACAGATTACTCATAGGTGTGATGTAACAAACTTTATATTTTTAGATTACAAAACTTTAGACTATCAGTTAGTCATAGATAAAACAGTTGCCGCAATCAAATATGTAGACAAATATAAGAATTTGTAGCATTTTAAAGTACCAAACAAAACCACAGAAACAAATCCCACAAAGCATGGTTCTTCATAGAGGGGAATGCAAAAGTTAAATCTAGATTCTAGAAATGTAACCTACTTTTACATTTCAATATAGATAGTTAATATTATAACAATTAGGATCTACTCTGAACAAAGCGAAAATCAGAAACTATGATGCTTGACAAGCCAAATATTATTGAATGATGCATCTTTAACCTGTTGCTCAATTGCTCATCAGAAATGCAGCAGCACAAATTCAAATTAACAATATAAAAATATGAATACCAATTCCACCCTACTTCAGTCAACCATGAAAAAAAATGTATTTACATGCAAAGATGTGCAGAATCTGAAATCTGAGAGAGAGAGAAGATTCGAAGTATAAGAAATAACTCAAAAATGAGTATAACCCTGCATTTAAAAGTCAGATGATTTATGATTGTAGTGATCAGTTTTATAAACAAGCAAACTAAGTTTTACGAAATTCAGCAACAGGTATCAAATTGCAGGACCAATAATGTGATATCCGTGAAGCACATTTTCGCATCAAGCACTAGGTCGACTATAGAACAAAAGCAAGAGTTATAAAAAACAAGGTGAGTCGAGTTTTTACTGCAAGTTTTCAACATTAACTTCAACCCTCTTGATTTGTCATCAATATTTATAGCAAAGGAAAGTATAAGCAAGAGATGGATCAACAACTGATGGCCAATTGAAGAGTACTAGACCTATGTTTTTAGCCATGCCTCGCAAACTCATGCAACCAAGGTAGAGAGCCACTAAAATCCCCCAGGCTCGGATAGTGTCAGGATGAAGAGTTAAAGCTGATTCATGTGACAGATACTCTTCAAGATGTATAACGGGCTGGATGCAAATTAAGTCACATAATTCATACTCTAAAGATTCATACTTGATCAATACTCTAATGCTTCAAAATATATACAACTATGACATTTCATACTTGATCAACCTGCAGAATATACAACCCTTCTTATGTTAGCAAAATAATTTGCATTTCAAATTGCAGAATATTTTAGATATTCTAGAGTATAGGGTAGCATCTAGGCCCACGACTATAGGACTTAATTAGTGCAGCTTGAAGGCCATAAAACTCAGCCAGTTGCTGGACAAACTTTCTAAGACACTGTTTCCATGATGCTGCAAGGCAAACGGCAAATATCTCTAGGACCTAGGTCTTAAATAAAAGAGCCAGAAGCAAGACCAGAAATTCATGCCTTCACTTTACTACAGCAAGCACCTCATATCCCTAACATAAACAAGAAACTTTCCAAGTTATCAAATGAGAAATTGGGTAAGCTTAGGCAGTGAAAACTGTGGATGCAGTTTGTATTACTATCATTACCAAAACAAATACTGTTGAAGTAGATCAGTTTGTGTTTCAAAAAAGAATAAACAAAAAAAAATCAGAGGATAAGATCCTCTTGTTCAATGAATATGATGTTGGAGTATAGATAGTCAGCAAGCAAATTATACACACAGGCAAGTATAAACAAAACAAGAAATTATATAAATTGAACAATAAGAAGAAAACATATCATGTAAGGCAAAAACTTACTCAAAGACCAACATTTATCTGTCATCCAAGACCATGGTTGATCACAGGTCTACCAAACTATGAATGTACATCCTACTACTTGCAGATGTTAGCAGAAAAGGGTGGTCTCAAGCAACATTTAACTCCCAAAGAACATTAATTGGTCATCCAGATCATTGCTGATCACAGATATCTATTACCTGGGGATGAATGCATGTCTTACAATACTTGCAATGTGACCAGAAAAGGGTGATCTCGATCTCAACTTGCAAGGAGCACTAGTGGTTAAGGTCTCTAATAGTGAAGCCAGTTGTTCTTCTCTGTTGTTTACCATGCTTGTCAAATATGCTGCCTAGAACAATGCTGCCAAAAATTTTATTCATACATAAAAAAGCAACCTGCATCCGCATCACCATAATAACATGAATGAGAGGGTGGCACCAATTACAACCTTAATCATCCTAGACACCCTCCTAGCAACCTCAAAGTATTTGGTTCATCAACTAACTGCCCTGTCAACTGAGGAATGCTCGTTGTTATTGCACTCATCACAATCTTTTCATAAATAGCATCATACATCATGATAAAAAGAACAACCTAACCTATTGTGACAATGAAACAAAAAACCAGCTCGACATAACAAAATCAGCACAACATTCTCAGTCCTGCGCCGCCAAAGAACAAAAATCTGATGGTCACATTTATTATCTGAAAACAGTACAATCACTGTAAGCAGCATGACAAACAAAACCATCAAAACAGGTCACTCTTCTAGTGTGAACAACTGCCATTCCAACTGATTCTGAAAGAACATATCAATCTCACTATCAGCTGAGCCAAATGAAAAAAGCTTATAGCATTAGAATTCAGCTCCACTGGGAACCAGCATTTTCTTCAGCAACTAATGCCCACAACTCAATCATCCAATCTAGTCATGCAACAACAAGAAAAATCCTAGCACATGAAGTTTAAACTCTACAGAACTGAGAAATTAGCACTTTGACCAGCTATAAGAGATGATCAAACTGCATGAAAACTAGAGAACAATCAGAGCAACCACATCAGCCCATTGGATCCAACTTTTGGGGTCGGCCACACAAATCCTACTCTTCCACTAAATTATGCTAAGGACCATCTCCTCAATTAAGTTTATCATCATCTCGATCAAACCGATTATTCTATTAACATCTATCAACTGCATAGAAAAGCTAGTGCATCTCCTTTCCAGATTACCAACTGAAATGCAGAATCCTCCAAAAGATGTACCTCCAACAACTTACAGACTAGTATATCCACCGAGTGAATGATATGCAATACATGCAAAGCTTTTTGCTTGACCATGAAAAAACATATCTTCATTTGGTTCACATGTAAGGTACTGTAGTCTCATTTATTTGCCATGCTTGTTAACGCATTGCTTGTTTATGCAGGGCCAAACCTTCAGTCTCTCCAAAATAACAGCATTCAATATAGATACCTAACCACCCATAACGTGCCTCTCTGGTGAAGCAACAACGCCATTAATATCCAAAGTTATAACAAAGAAAAACAAGTGTCAAGCTCAAAATATATCAGCAGAAGCCTACGTTACTATTTAGCAGCAGCACCCACATGATGTGAAATTTTTCTCTGCACCAAGAAATATCGCATTCTACCATGGACCTTTAAGTATTTTCATCTGTAAGCTGACTGTATAAGTTGACATCATGAAACCACTCAAACTTTCAACACTCGAGTATCAACTGGATTCAGTGTAATCTCATATGCACAGACAGATAAAGCTTTCTACTGCTGATGCTGCACAGGCATATCAATATCGACCGTGCTGCAAGCATCCCTGACTGGTAGCTAACGGTTAACAGCATCGGCGTTTCCTCAATAACAAGCATAGCGGTTATAACTCATGGTAACAATTTC